TTGTAATAGCTCATCATGTATTATGATGGTACAGTCTCTACAGGAAAGATTGTACTTGGTTTTGTATGCCTCCTTTGGGTAACACAAAACTTTCTCAAAAAGCTGAAATAAATTCTGTGGTTTTGATTGCTACCATGTCATCATTGCATACCCCATCCCCACCTCCATGCACACACAACAGCACCTAGGTAGTTTAAAGAACATTTTTTGAAAAGTGGATTTTTTGGGGGCTTGGATATTGATTTGGATATGGAACATTTCAGCTGCAAATTGCTAACATGATTCTGACTCGGGTTGGTAACGATGTAAATGTGTGACAGCTGTTTTGCTTGCCTGAAATGGTCTATTCTTACAGTTCTTCATGCACAGGTGATCTGACATTAGAATGAAGTCCAACATGTATTAAATGGGGAAAACCCCCCATGTTTTAATATACAAAGAATATCCATTTTACTTTCATTATGGCTTGAACTGAATGTTTAGAAAGCCATTTTCCTAACACACTAAAATTATAATCTCCTAATGAATCCTGAATATTTTTGATAGCCTTCTACAAACAGGATCTCCACTGTACACCTCTATCCTCTCACCAGAAAGTTACATCTCTAAGAGTATAATGGACCTAAATTTTGTTTCAGGCCTGGAGAAAGGAAATGTCACCATCCTGATCATTCAAAAAGCCCTATGCACTTTCTCTTTCCTTGGAGTCTCCAGTTTTAAATTGAAACATACCTAATATGACTCATTTATGGGACTCCAGTACAAAGTAGGATCACAATAGATTTTCTGACTTTCTCAGAGAGTTTACTGAATTAACCTATTCTTCTGTGGTCAGACACGCAGCAAGATAAAAAATCCTTGCCTTAACTGGTGAAAGCTCAGATTTATTGAGGACTATGCATCTTTTCATAGTCAGCAACCAAAAAGTCTGCAAGAATCCTAATATTCTAATTCCAAAGAAGGATGCCTTGAATGTTTTTACTTTGACTGACAAAAATTCACAACTGAATGGATTTTCAGTATACAAGCTGGAGTTCTTACCATATAGCTTCAGTTCTCTGCTTTTTTACAGGTGTCCTGTGTGATTTGACACAAGCCTCTATGCTGTAGTCCCACAGCACTTAAAAATGTGCAGTGGCATGGTTTAACTTTTCAGAAAGATGATCAGCTTCACATAGGTTCTGAGATATATAAGACCACAGGGGTCTGAATAAGTCAGTGGGCTTTATCCCCTGCTCATAGAGACAGGCTGTCAGCCTATTTCTCATTGCTGCAATTCCTTCTCATTAATATTTTGCTGAAATCAGCAGAATCACCCCTAATCCTACATCAATACATGTATATGAGAACAAAGTCCATTCACTGGGCACATTATAGAGTGAATATCTGTGGTATTGTATTAAAATAAATTTTAAAAATTGTAAAACCAAAACCAAAAAAGCCGAAATAAAATAAAAGCAACCTCAGAAATATGGAGGTCAAGCACACAGGATGAGATTTTTAAAAATTCAGAGTGGTTGCCAAGCACACATAGATGCAGATTTATTGGTAGGTAGAAGAAGTCAGCAGAATGCTAATAAGCAGAGTTTGTCAATTAGAAGAAAGAGGCAAACACACAGACCGCAACAACACCTTGCTGGTTCAATATTCAATTTTTAGTCTCGACAATGCATTGCTTCCCAATTCATTAATGGCAAGGCCAAGTTTTGACTACCTCTGGGTTGAGCAATTAGTTCAGAACTGAGCCTGTTCAAAGATTCCCTCCCAAAATTCACACTTAAGAACATATGAAAAAGGACAGAATTTTATCTAATACAATTTTAAAGGTATTTCTCTCATTAATGTGGAACAAGATATAAATTATATTGTACTTTGTAAAATCCTTAAGTTTTAAAATATGCCTGAGTAAGGTCAACACCCTGCACCTGGTGAGAAATGAAAGGTAAATATTACCATAAAATTAATGCTTTCTTCTCAGAATAGAAGCAGTTTGGACATAACCTACAATTTTCACAAGCACTAAAGGCATTTCTGTCATTCTAGGGCCTTCTCTCTGTTGTTGTCTCTCTTTCTCAGGATCAGATGGTACTTAAAATATTCTTACCTGTCATTTTGAGTCTAGCAATGAAACAAAAATATAGATAAAGCTTTTGGCCAGGGCAGAAGGCCAGACTCAAATCTGTTATGGAAAAATAGAGTTAACAGTAAACTTGGGCAGTCAGATTTGCTCTTTAGCAGCTTGTGATGTAACCATGACTTATAGCCTATTACATTCAGATTCAGAAGGGTATCCAAAAAGCACAATTTTAAAAATGCACTTAGACATATGCTTAAAGTTCAACTTCTGCATTACTGAACTAAAATTCAGCAAGTCTCATTTCAGTTCCTTCATGAAATGCTAATCTAAATAAATATAAAAGCTCATATAATTATGAATAAGCCAGAATCTTTTAACTTTTCCTCTCCTTTGTGTGACTGAACAAAGTACAGTAAAACTGGTGAGAGTCAGGCAACTACTGCTGCTATTACTGCATCCCTGCTGAAAACATAGTTAATCTCCTTAGTCCAGAGGCAAAGATTCAGATGATTATTTCTAACACTTGTATCTGTTCAAATAGTTTCTACAGATGTCACGTATCTGCACCAAATCCCAGTTACCTATGCTTCAGCTGGTATGTCTTTACAAGCTTTTTCATAAAGACCCACCTCGCCAATTAAGGACCGGCATTTTTTTATCACCATAAAGTCACTATTGCCTCTCTGCAGCTGCACAAAGCTTTTCATTATTGGCTGGAATGTTTGTGGGTTTTTTTAAGAGTCCACAAATTTGGGAGGCAGACACTGTGTTTTAATGCATTACTCTCCTCTGATAATCATGCTGAACATGTTTAGTCTACATGCAAAAAGGTAGAAAGCAGAATTTAATTTTCATGACAACATTTTGGTGTATCAAATGAAACTATTGAAGCAAAAGTCCTAAATTAATAGACTATTTAAAAAAATCAAATTTGGTTTGTTTTAAGAGACTGACGAAATAACATCTATGGCACAGACCTAATGCTTTTGATGCCCAAGCAAACGGAAAAAAGAAACACTGGGACAAAAGTCAATTTTATAAATGGCAAAATGGAGGAACAGAGATTCTGATGGCTGCAAAGTCACATAAGAGTTGGCTACAAATTTCTTGTTATCAATTACTGTGTGAATCACAAAATAATTTTTTCCTAGAGATTGTTCCTGCAAAACAGCTCTTTGGTGGCCACAACTTTCAACAGCACAGAAGTATTTGGATAGAATAAGGTGGAACAATGAAAATAATAGCAATATTTATGTAAATGGTGAAACACTATTTTAAACAGATACTATAAAATGTGAAAATTGTAATGTTACTAATGAGTCACCAACCTTGGAGGATATGTGGCACTAAGGGACAAGTTTTTGCAGCGGACTTTGCAATGCTGGGTTATGGCTGGACTCAATGATCTTGGAGGTCTTTTCCAACTGAAATGATTCCATGATTCTACTTGCCATTAAACTGACAAGAACTAAAAAAATCCCAGTGTGATTCACAACTCACCCACGTCAGTTTCTGGGTTTTTTTGGAAGCCTAACAAAACTCCTTCTCTAGTCACAAGGTCTTTTTTGCCTCATTCTGCCTGTCAAAGGATCATTTTATATTTAAGTCATTGCAATGCTATTTCTTATCATGGATATTCTACTATATTGATAGAATAGGAGATAACTCTGATACTGACTTAAGATTAAAAAAATAATAATAAATTATGCAGAGTATTCCTTCATATATTTAGTTGGTGATCAAACACAACTGCTGGGCCAGTAAACATACCTTAAAAGAGACTGAGATTAGCCAATATAGTAAGAGCTTCAACAAGGCCAAGTACCAGGTCCTGCCCTTGGATCACAATAACCCCAGGCAGTGCTACAAGCTAGGGGAAAAGTGGCTGAAAGCTGCATGGTGGAAGAGGGCCCAGGGACATGAACAGAGCCTGAATATGATCCAGCAGCATTCCCAGGTGGACAAGAAGACTAATGGCATCCTGGCCTGTATCAGCAACAGTGTGGCCAGCAGGACCACGGATTGTCCCCTTATACTCGGCACTGATGAGGCCACACCTCAAGCTGTGTCCAGCTCTGGCACTGCAGAAAAAGGACACTGAGGTGCTGGAGTGCATCCAGAAGAGGGCAGTGGAGATGGTGAAGGGTCTGTAACACAAGTCTTATGAGGAGTGGCTGAAGGAAGCTGGGGTTGTTTAACGTGGAGAAAAAGAGGCTCGGGGGTGACCTTATCACTGCCTACAACTACTTGAAAGGAGGCTGCACCCCGGTGCGGGTAACAAGAACTGGCCTCAGGCTGCACCAAGGGATACTACAGGACATTCTTCCACCGTAAAGCTGGTCAAGCATTGGAACAGACTGCCCAGGAAAGTGGGTGAGTCACCATCCCTGGAAGCGTTAAAAGAAGTGTAGAAATGTTCCTTGATTCTACTACAAATTCTTGGCTGCAAATGTATATGTACTACGAGGTCATATGAACGTCTCTTTTCTACCTCTCAGCGGGCGGGCTCTCAGACTCTTGGGAAGCCCCGCTGAGAAGACCTTGGTTTCCACACGCAGCTGCCCCCGTCCCGGCGCGCACCTTGCCGTCGGGCGACTGGTGAGCGAAGGATGAGATCTGAGCTCGACCACCACCGGAGTCGCGGCACCACCGCCGCCATTACCGCACCGGAAGCGGCCGCCGCGCGCGCGGGGCGGGGCGAGGGCGGAGCCGCCGGCAGGACAGGTACCCCCTGCGCCGCAGTGCACTGGCCCCGCCCCCAGGCCCGCCCCCCCCGCCGGCCCCGCCCCTTCCCGAGTGGCCTCGGGGGAGGAGGATGAGGGGGCACCGCGACGGCGCTTGTGGTGCTGCCGCTCTCAACTGACCGGGCCCCGCGGTCCCCGCCGCTTAGCCGGCGCTCCCTCCGTGCCTCCCTGCGCGCGCCCCGCACCGCGCCGCCGCCCGGGGCGGGGGAGTCGCGGAGAGTGGATGCCTAGCGGGCACCCCCGGGGCAGAGACCCGCGGACGCCATGGGCTGCTGCAGCTCCGCTTCGCAGGTGAGTGGCCCGTTTTCCCCTCCCTTTTCCGACCTCGCCGTCCTCCGCTGCAGGGACCTGTCACACCCGCCCGTGGCCCCTCTGCTCGCCCCGCGGCTGTGGCCCCCCTGGCCCCTGGTCTGTCCCTGTCGCTGTCCTGTGGCTGCGCAGCCGCTTGTCCCCTCCACAGCCGCGCTCTCTGGCGGGCGTGCATCTCCTTGTGCCCCTCGCAGCACAGCTTCCACCAGGCTAAGCACCGCTTTGCTGCCTCCCTCCACGGAGCCCCGCTTTCCTGTGGCAGTACATCCCCCTCGCTACACCTGTAGCGCCGTTCTCCCGTTGCTGCGCACTCTTCTGCGTCCCAGTCTGTAAGCACACTCTGTCATGGCTGGGAGCCCATTGCTTTCCCTCCCCACTTCACAATCCTCCACCAACAGCTTTGGCCTCCCGTGACTGTGACCACCTTGCTTTCCCCTCCCGTAGCCTTGCTGTTTCGTGGCTGGGTACAACACCCTTACATCCACTCGCCCCAAGCCTTCATGCACATGAGCTGTGCACCTTTTTGCTCCCTCTGTAGCTGTGCCTTTCCCGCTCGTGGTTGTGCATCCCCGTGTTCACCAACATCACTCCCCCCGCCCCCCCAATAGCCTTGCTCCTTACCATGCTACGCACTTCCACCCTCTGCATACTGTTCTGTGTGCTGTTTCTCCTGTGGATCATCTTCACCTTGCCCCGTGTTCCCCAGCTGTGCTTTTGCTTTGCAATCTGTAGCATACCCTGCTCCACTTCCCTGCTATGGCTGCAGCTGCAGACGTCCAGTTGTCACCTGCCATCCTTCTAGTGCCTTGCACCACTGTCCTGTGATCCCCACCTCCCCCCCGCCATTCCTCAGTACATCTCCCTAGATAGCTCTGCATGCCCTGCCCTTCCTGCAGCATGTTCTTTGGGGTCCCTACTGCCCCACCCGACAGAGAGAAGCTATTCCGTGGGAGGAAAGTCATCAGGCCCAGGGCATCCCTGAAGTCCACTGTCACTGGAAAGAGAGACAGTCTTAATCTCAGCCTCCTTCTTCACTCTATGTCCGAGGGTTCAGGTACCTCCCTATATCCATTTCCCTGAATGTGATTGGTTCCGTGCCCATCTCTTGTTTCCGAGGTCGGTTTTTCTTTCTTCCCCCTCCCCCTTCTCTCTGCTTTGCCCTTACTGACTCCTTTTTTTCCCCCAGAGTGGTGCTGCCAGGCAAGGCACAATCGGGAGCTCCACCCAACGCTCCAGTTTGCGGCTCTGCTTCCCATTTTAACTTTGCCTTTGAACAACACGGCCAAAGCTGTGCTGTTTTTTTGCATGGCTCTTTTTCTGAAGGCTGTAGTACGAACGATCACGACTGATGCCTTGGCTGTGCTTTGCTCGCTTGTAAATGTTAGTTTCCTTTGGCTGTATCACTTGCAGTGGCTGAATCCAGCTTCCAGCAGACTGCTTATGTGGGAAAGTCCGTCTCTGCTGTCCCAGATGACTCATCACAGAGATGAGTTTTTGTATCTCATCCGTTCAGGCAGACTTTTTTTTTTATGTAAGAGCTCTGTCCTTCCAATGCAGAACACTGCGGAGAACTGTCCAGTTGCAATAGGAAACATCCTTTCAGTATAGCAAATATGCTGCAAGGAGGAAGGCAAACAGCTTTGTGGTTTGAATTACGAGAGTGAGGTATATGCTAAATGTTAGGGGTGGATTTTGAATTTGTTCAGTCACTGCAGTAGACTGCCAGAGCATATTGTGAAGTCTGTATTGTCTGAGGTTTGCTAAAAAAAACAAAACAACCCATGTTAGATAAACATCTGTCAGGAGTGGCTTAAGGAAAGCTGATACAGACTTGGAGCACCGAGTGAAGTTGATGTTTTGAAGTAATGTTTTGAAGACTTTTCCAACCTTATTTCTATGATTTCAGAGAAATTGCTTTTCTCAAGTGTTTTGTAGGCTCTTTCTAGCTCTTCTAGAGCTAGAAAATTTGAATTGCAGTTCACTGTTCTTTTCTTAAAGGAAAATGCAGACTTACTTGTGGGTAATGTTAGCGGATGAATTGGTTTGCATATCTGGCATATGCATATCTGGGTTTCAGCTGACTGATTTTGGATTTTAGTGCAATTTGTGTTCTGCTGCCAGGTTATATTACATTAATAGTATTCTACTAAACTTCTCATTTGCTTTCCTTATGCGTGGCAAGATACGGTACAACAGCTGACCTTTGTGCACCGTATGACTGAAGTTTAAGAATAGCAGTATATGTAATTTCCTAACCATAAGCAATGGTGTGTCTGCTCAGGAAATCCAAATCAAAGGCTAGTTGCTGAATATTTTATCAGCAGTTTTATCTGGTATATGGATTACAGAAACCTTGCTGCATACCACATAGCACTACATTAGGCTATAATGTCTGTCCTATCATCCCTTTTATCATTAAAAATAAATGTTCTATTCCTCATCTACCATGGTCTTTGCATTTCCCCCTCTCATGTTTTTCCTGGGCAGGGGTCCATCAGAAATTCCTTCATGTTTCCTCACCTACATTTTGCTTCTCCCTTTCTAGCTTCATATTGGTCTTTGACATAATCTCTTATCATGAAAATCCTCATTCCTTCTGACTTTGTTTTTCAAGTAGATTTCTCATTAAGTTTATTTTTCAGCTCTCTAGCCTATTTGATCTTCATCTGCTAATCCCCATTTCTGTTTCTGACAGAAATGATTATTTCTGTTTTGATTCTGCTAGCCATCTTATCTGATTACTGCATCTCCAAGTCCCTTTCTCATGACTGCCACCTTCTCCTCTTATTTCTGATAATGCATCTACCTGTGACTGATTGTTGAACTGGATTGATTTCTTTGTAGTTTTATTCATAGCTTTTATTTCATACTCAGTTATTCATTTTTCCCCCTAGATATGTTTCCCAATTCCTTTGCTTTGTAGGCTGTCTAAAGGCCTTTATCTTAGGCCTTTTTCTGTGCCTCTTTCCCAGCAGAATCTAAAGGTTTCCAGAGAAGAACTGATTAGAATTTACATGTTTACCTTTATTCAGCAGTATTGATTGCTGCTTACAGAGATGTATTCTTGTGTTTCTTTTATGCTTTTTCTGCCTTTTTAATTACCCAAAGCCTCATTCATTCAGTTTTTCTCTTTTACTTTCAAACTTCAGGTTTTTACCTCCTGCTGCCATCTTATTCCCTTCCTAATTTTATTCTGATTTGCTATTCTCCATCCTTAAAAATAACAGCACTCTAGTCTGTTTCTCTTCTTTTTCCAAATTTCTGAGCAGAGGAATGTATGTTTTTTGTCACACATTCTTTCCTCTTTCTTCATACTGAATTAATTCCAGTCCAGATTCTGTGTTGTGCTGAAATTGTCTTCAGTTAATATATCTATCTGCAGGCTTCTTGTGCCCAAGTTGCAAGGATTCCATGTTTTACTCTCCTTGGTCTCTGTTGCTTTCAATAGCATATGTAATCCTCTGCTACATGGTGTCTTATTCTCCCTGGCATGTCTGTAGTACCACAGAATTTTCTGAGGTGGAAGGAAGCCACAAGAATCATTGACTCCAGCTCTTAAGTGCATGGTCCATACGGGGATAGTACTGTTGTTTTTTAATTACTCACTGCCTTCTACTTGCTGATTATTGTTTATTTGCCACTACTTCTGTCTGTGGTTATACTTCCAGCCTTTCTCCCCCTTTTGTTAACTTCCTATTTTACCAGACTTTTCAGCTTTATTTGTTAAGAGTCATGTTAAATTAAACTTAATGCAACCATACCAGACTTTCTTCCAGATGAGCTAATTCTTTCTGTTGCTCCACTGCTGTTTTGCCTGCTGAGGTGATTAGAACCAGAGTACTTCTTTTCCAGTTTTTCTTATTTTCATTTTGGTTTTCCATGTTTGCACAGAGTTCTTTCACTTCCCCTGGTGTAGCATCTTCTGTGATATCCACTATTTCTTTATCATCACAACTAGAATTCTTATTTACTTCTTGTTCGTTTCCAGTGTTACCTGTTCTTTCTCCTTGGTGTTACAAGAGTGTTTTAATCTTTTTTTTCTTTAGAATTGCTTATGCGATTCTGTACTAAGCTGTCATTTTTTTGTGCTTGCTGTCTCTTTACTAGCACCATCTTGAACCTTGAGTGTGTAGAGAAAAGCTTGTGCAATGTCAACTGCATCTTAGCAGTTGTCTAAAAGCAGTCTTGTTTACTTACTGTTAGTTATCATGAACAGATCTTCCTAACATTTCTTTGAATTGTGATTTAGCCAAATGTGCTATCCTATATGAGATGAAAACCTGTAAAGGAAGGGACAAGTACTGAGGTGGGATTTCTGTCTTCTGTCTGGTATTGCTGTTATTTGTCAATACCTTCATGTTGCTTCAGCCCACTGTCCTCGCTTGGCCATATCTTTAGCATGAAATGGGTGTTTTCACAAGAAGGGTGCTTCTGTCTGGATGCATCTTTTTTGTCATGGACCTGCTGTGCAACAAAGCTGAAGTTTCTTCTTACTTTTTATGGAGGTAACTCTAGTTTGAGTTTATGGGGTTTTTTTATATTTTATATTTGTGCTGTTTTGGAAATTATCTTCTCTACCTAAATGTAAGGATCTTTTGAGCGAATGGTGCAGAAGTTTTGAGTTGTTAAAATAATTGCATTTCTTTCAAATCTTTTATTTTACTGAGGAAGAAAAATGGAGTTGAGTGCGGGTATTCTCTTCCCTTGCTTTTCATTCTTCTTTTTTTCCAGTGATATTTTTTATTATGTCACAGCATCAATCTGTTTTAAAACTGGATCTTCAGGAAGTAACTGTTGGAGTTCATCACTCCTATGTTGCCACTACTGTTAGGCTGTGCTGTAAATCTGTTTGTTTGAGCTAATCTGTATAGGGTTTTTGTTAGTTTGTTTTTCAGCAAGAAAACTTATTTTGCAGTACAACTCAAATTGCTCCACCAATCTAGTTTATACCACAGTTCTGTGAAGTTTGCATTGTTACATCT